TAATATTACCAGGGAGTCAGGGACCTATTATTATTTGGAAGAGTAGAGTACACTTCAGTTTTAAATTGGAGGTTTGTAACCTATGGACTTTAAGACGAGTAAAGAAAGAAAAAAAAAGAGAGAAAAGGCTGAATGTTGTGTTATGTGGTGAATTTAAACATCCTGGGAAATGACATAAGTAACTAACATTTGTGTTGTTATTTAAATCTGTTGCCCCTGCTCTTGTTTGGTAAAGTAAAATATGTCAGATAAAGTTGGGTGCACAGCAGCTTATTATCAGTTGATTATTTGTGCCTCTTTCCACTCGCAGAGCACTTTATTTTGACTTGTTTAAATGAGAATGAGAGAAAATCCTGTAACTTAGTGCAGTTTGGGGAAAATTTATATATATATATATATATATATATATATATATATATGTACACACACACACACACCATCAACTACAGTTCTTAAAAAGAAAATTAGAAATCGGCAAAAATCGGTATCGGCCAGTCACATTTAAACAAAAATTGGAAATCAGAATCGGCCAAGAAAATTGCAACCAGTTCATCTATAGCACCAAAGAAACATTCTCCCAACATCCCGTAAATTATTTGATGGACCAATGCTCTAGACAGACATATCTTTATGTAAGAGCAGGCTTTTGCATTCAAAGTGCTGTCCCAGAGGAACCACTCCCCCCCCCCCCCAGTCCTACACGGCACAGGCTGGGAGGTCCGCTGAATAGAGGTTGGCTAAACAAAGCAGAAGTCCCGATAAACATGCTGCATTTTCAGTGCATTAGATGCAAATTAGATACCTACAACTGATACTTTTCTGCTCAGTCAAACCCACCCGGACAAATTGTTAGCATTTACTAATCCATCAGTAACAAGGACACCCTTCTTATGCAAAGCAATCAGACTAACTCTGGCAACAATAATTCCTGGGGAGGGATAATGCTTCCTGTTCCATCACACATTACACAACTGACAGAGCTACAGTGCTGAGTGCGTTATATGATTCAGGAGGGATGGGGATGGCTGATTTGAGTGTTGCAGGCAGAAAGCATCATGCTGGGAGTTGGGGAGGGCCGGCACGGCGCCGTTTGGTGGCAGCGGGTGAAGCAAAAACAAGCCGACAGATTCTCACCCGTTTTCCACAGTTGTAGAAGCCGGTCCCTGGCTGACACACCTGACAGGGATAATCAGATAAAACGCTGGCCAAGGTCAGATAATCCAGCAGGAAAATGCTGGCGACTGTACTCAGGGACTTCGAGACGGGCTTTCAGGGGCAACACGGGATCTTAAAAGCTGATTTTTTGGAATGCATACTCTCACTATTGCCTGCCAACACCAATCACTGCTGAGTAATCGAGATGGTCAATTCCTCAGCTCAGGGAAATGACATAATTAAGAAAGATGTTCATCTGTTTTTTTTTTTTTTAAACTGCCAATAAACCTTTAGAGAAAGACACACATTGCTGCTGTCCTGTGTTAGCCAATGGGAACACTGGTGAATCTGTCATTTGTTATATGTGCTGTGTACATAATCACTAATGCCAAATACTCAGAGCTGGAGAGAGAAAGCTGCACAGAATGCATATCTTCTCCCACACCAATGTGAGAACAGCACCTGCCCCAGCAGTCATCTGGTTACTTCAGCAGATGGATGCTTTATAGGATGTGGGGAGGACCACGATACATTATGCGGTTGTGCTGGTTCTATGAATGAAAGGCTTCAGAATCTGAATGACAATGTTGCTTAATGGAAGTGAGGACAGTTTGTTCTCGAGTCAGAGAAACAATAAAGGATCGAGCCATAAAATACACAGCTTTCCCAATTTAACAGCACTGTCACTGCCCTGTCCGACTGATATGATGCACTAAACGTGGGCTGCAGACAGCAATCCATCTCGAATCCCAGGCTTGGCGGACATAAACAAACATACTTTGGTTACTCCAAAGAATCATTAAGACATGCTGTTAAACAATCTGTCCCACATTTCAACAATAAATCAAATTTAGAAGGTTCTGTAGAGTCGCAAATCTCTCCTCTTGAATATAATCCCACAGCAGGATGCTCAGAAAGCGATTCACAGTCAGTGCCCCATCGCAGACGGAGCCGGTATCCTCTGTGCCTCAGGACGATCCTTGCTTACAGAGCTCGGAACTTTACACACTCAGCTGTGATTTGGCGACACAGAACTCAACACAATGTGTGTGAGCTACAACGGGGGCACTCATTTCAGAATTCATACTTTAGATCCTGCTCATTAAGACATTTTCTACAGAATAAATTTTAGCTACAACAAATTGGTCAAAAAAAAAAAAACATACTCTAAAGCACTTTGAGGTGGAAACATGATAGTTTGCTTACACTTCTGGGTTTATGTCAAGCAAATACCCCTTGAATATTAAAAGCAGAACGGGAGGGGGCACATTGGGAGATCATTTCGATTTGAGCCACTCCCTCTCTCATGTTCATGTCTAAGGGTACAAACTCAACCACTGTTTCTCTCTCGTCCACTTGAACCTCATGCCTTTCCCTACTAGATGTTAGATCTATTAAGGACCACCTAATGTACATTATTTGACATTACCTCTGTCTTGACCCTGTACTAGATCACTTAAGTCTTCAAATAGAGGCTTCCCCCAATAACACTCTGTACAGTGTGTCACATGTTGGCAGCCCTAACCTACAGCAATTCTAACAAGAAGAACTCAAGAAAAAAACAGCTTCAAATTCATGTCTAGTAAAGTTTCCTCACGGGATGGAAACAGTGCAGCAGGGCCACAAGAAACACCTGTATGGCCTCAAATGTGCTAAGAAGCAGCACTATGAAAAAATGGCCAGGGCCAGTAAATTCCTGCTAGCAGTTCATTTTAATAAAAGGGGCTCCATTACACTTTTGAGAGAGTGAGGGCCAAATGCAGTAATGGTAAGATGTTTTATGAAAGGGAAAAGGCAGGGGAATAGATCATATTATGGTACGGTGCTGAAATGTGGGACAGCGTCTTTTCATGCGTTTCAATAACCCACTTCACTGACAGCATTCGCTTCAGATATGGAACTAACTAGCTGCAGTGTTGTTTCTCCCAGACTTTAACTACCAACCACATGTCCAACACCGGGAGCACCGTGTCAGACGTTCATGTCCCACCAATAAGAAAGTATCTCTTCCCCGAGCAGGAAACCAGAGAAAACTGCGGCTCTAGTTTCTGATGCCAGTCTTGGCACCATATTCAATCAGGACAGCAAACATTTCAGCCACACAAAGGTTCTTTTTAAGGATTTCCCCTGAAAATGGTGAGCTGTCAAACCTCACACCACTATATAACATTATAACTAACATTTTTGCAAAAATAATTTAAAATGAAATAATTAAAAAGGGACTTAAGTTGTTCTTAGATGAATCAGATTATATGAAACCAGAGTTAAATCATAATGCACTTTTCTGGATTAAAAATTGTTGAAAACTGAAAATACAAAAAGTCTAAAAAATGGAGACTCGTTTCAAAGAAAAAAAAAAACCTTGAGATCTAAACTACCTGACATTTTTGACCTCTATTCCAGACTATAATGACAGAAATAAAAAGTATTAACCATAAGACCAACTGGGACATTGTTATTTTTATCTATGAAAAGCCAAAATATTCCCAGGCTCATTATGCTTAAGATATCAATAAAACACAGGTAATAATAAAGACAACACGGCTGCAGGTATGGCTTAAACGGGATGAATTAATAAAAGTATGCAATGTGGGGTTATTTAAAAAAGTGGAACTTTTTATTGTCGAATGTGACTTTTTATCTGCAATGTCTGATTAAAAAAAAAAACATTTGGACATTATGTATGATGATAATGTAAGCGCACAGCCGCGATGCCCGCGTCCCGGACCGGCTGGTGCTGAGCATGAAAGAGCGACGTGACATCGGGGTGTGTAAAGACACAAGTGGAAAGCCGTCTCCGCACAGGAAGCTTGTCACATCCGCCACGGCACGCCAAATGGCAACAAAACACAAATACTCATCCTAAAAGTACAAAAACAGAAACAACTTATCGATACGTCCGAGGCTGATGAGATGCCAACCAAGCAGAAAATTTAATTACAGTAACTGATAGGACACGGCTGCAGACTCACTTTTAATTGAAAATATCAGCCACTCCGGTGGAGCCGTGATTTCGTTTTTGCCCGGTAATTTATGGGGGTGGCTTTACTTTACTTTTGTTTTAATCACCCACGATAGCCCGATAAAGGCTGTTAGTTGCGGCCATACAGCCGCTCATACAGATAACTCACTCGAGGAGTGAAAGGCACCGCAGCGCGAGTGACAGCTGCTGAGTGACAGCAGCGGCGGAGCCCCCTGGAGAGCCTGCCGGCTTTGGAGCTCGGCTGGTGATGGGTAATGGTGCCGGCCAGCCCTCCCGTCACTGGACGCGTAAAGGCTTCGCCCCGCCGCAGACGCTCCTCTATAAGCCCCCTCAATTAATCGGGAACCGTGAAGCGAACCGGGACGCCGTTAGTCGAGCAGTCAGGACTCCGGCGATCTGCCGGCTCCGGGTTCCTACAGAGCAGACGGATAGGAGGGAGTCGGACTGGCCGGCCCACCGTCGCCTGACTGGCCGGCCCACCGCTGCGGGCTGCGCCGTGTCTATATTTAATATCGGTTTCCAGCAGAGCACACAGTGCCGTATAGGCGGCCACCGAACTGAAGCTGGTGTGCCCAGAGCGGCAACGTTTTCCCAGTAATACAGGAGTAAATCGGCGGCCGTTAGGTGAGCGCTGGCGGGCCGGGCCTGCTCGGGCCCAGCCTCCTCCCCTCGGTCCTCCGCGGCCCCAGACAAAAACCCAGCAGCGATAAAGACACCGTCCGTCTTCAGCCCTGCCATCCGACCTGAACACGGACGGCCAACTCCACCGCGGCGCCTGTTCTTACGGACGGCCGTCCATTGGCGGAGCGAACCGAGAATTATTAAGAAGAAAATCATAAGAAGAAGAAGGAAAAAAACTCACCGCATTAATTTCTCTTCCCCTCGCAGATCCAAGATGGCGGCGTATTCCGACGGTGAATGCTGGGTAATGACCTTTAACCTCCGACCCCTTCGTGATCTCGGAAACATGGTTGCTGTTGCTATTAGCTACCGCACATCATGCTTGTCAAATGTCTACTGCAGGAATCATGGACATACTGCCACATAAGTATCGTTTTTATATAATTTAAACGAAAAACAGCCTGTTGGTAGCCACATAATTGGTCAGCGTCCGTGCTGTTTCTAGTACGGTAGCTAGATATATCGATCATAATTTTTTAACGTAGCGACGTAATCAATATGATTGCGGAGTCGTTATATATACACGAATCACATATATGAATTAATCAGGTAATTTGTCGTCCATATGCAGGTAGATCAGGTCTTCGTACAACTAGCCAGCTTACCCCGTATTAATGGTGGATGTTGACATATGGCTGTCCGTCCTGTCATTTATCGAGGCTTAACTCCCATGTGAATCGATACTGTAATGCGTTATATATATTCAGTGGCATATAAATAAATGTTTCTTAAAGCTGCCGCGAACGTATCTGCGTATTTTGAGACCGAAAATGCGGAGATGGACGGTCGCAGATGCAGGTAGCAAGGTGTGTGTGAGGCTGCTGGTTCTTTAAAGTGTTTATAAAGATACGAATGGCATAAATACAATCAATGGTGCAATAAATACAAAATACAATAAACAACTACAATATTGTAGTAATACTATAAGAAAATCGTTTATATATTTCCTCATTTGACAAACATGAACTCAAGAATAACCAAAAGTCACAGAACAACCACAGAACAAAAAAACTCAGTATACCCACTTCAGCTTTGGCTTCAGGCTTGAAAGACACACAGTGCAGGACTGACCTCCCTAAGGACAATGAGGTGGGCACAATTTCACAAATAAGAACACATACTTCCTTTACTACATTTTCATAATTTTTTTGACAAGACATCACACATTCTTCCAGCATCGGACAGGATTTATTTGATTGTGAAACTGCATGGTCTTTTCATATCAACAGTATCACAGCCCTTAAAAAGCTTCATCTTAATGCCATAATAAAGGTCCAATATACTTTGTACTACCACAGAAAAATCTGATGAATTATTTGTCGCCAGTATCTCCACCACTGAGCAGCGCAGATGCAAGATGCTTCCTGTCCCACGGACTGCTGGCTCATCCAGAGGTTTGTCAGATGCTGATTTTGCATCTGCAAGCATAAGGTCTCTTAGGTTCCATTTTACTTATGAATAGAATGTGTAGCTGGCTGACACAACGGTTCATTGGGTAACACTGTTGCCTCTCACTGCCAGGGTTGAGGGATTGGATGTTGAGTTTGTAGGTTCTCCCCTTGTCTCATATGGGATTACTCTGGATTCTCAGGTTTTCTCCTGCAGCCCAGTGGTGAATAGTTAGGCTAATTGCTTATTGTGGCTTGACCTTTTGCTCATTGCTGCCTGCGACAGGTTTCGAGCCCTCCTGTTACCCTACCCAGGATAAGTGCTTGGAAGATGGATGGATGGATAATATGTAGATGTATTTGTACTCAAATTGAGGAAAATACAGTGAGGAACTGAATGTAAGCTATGGATGACGTGAACAGGAGCTGAGGACAAACATCTGATTAAGGATACTGAGCTCTCCTGTAATTACACCTCACATCAGTCACCCTCCAAAGTGAAGTGCAGATGAATGTTTACCCCCTTGTCGTCTGCTATTCCGCAGACTGAATTAAAGAGCTGTCATGCATCCACATGACGCATAAATAATTGATCACCTTCTGTTGGCCCGAGGGCAGACTCTGACGGCACTTCGCCTTGCTTCTAAATGTAGCTGCCATTTTGTAGGTGCTAATAGCGACGCTACCGATAGTCAGAATTCTCCCAAATAGAAATACGATTATTCTGAAAACGGCCTGGAATCTTAATGATTAGCAAGTCATTCAGTTAATCATGGGATCCCAGCCTGTGCAGTGACTTTAAAGGTTCCCATCACAATAACAATGCAAGTGAAATAACACAAATGATCACAAATGCTCTTTTATCCTGAACACAATATAACTAAATTAAAATTTATTCCCCTGCTTTAATAAGAGAACGGAACAGTTTAATTACAAAAATGCTCGGTAAACCATTTACCCAACTTTAGTGTTTCTCTTAAGTGTGCAGTGTGTGAATCAATGGAATTGGCCCCTGTGCTTGAATTCAGAAGAGTGCTAGTTCAGATCCCCTGCTTGGCAGTTAAAACCACATCACTGTTGATCACCCTTATTTTATGTATTAAATCCCAGTACTATAAGTCCTTTCCTGTTTAAACAGAATTTTGAGAAATTACCATAAGCAAACAAGAAGCGACTACGTAGAGCTTAGCTAGAAATACCACGGAAAGAGCACAAACCTATACAGTCACTTCCCTGTATTGGACATACCTCACATTCTAGCAGAGGTGGCTAAAGGTGGGGAGTCAGCGTGGTAATAATTTTCATAACTTGCTGCAATATTTCACCGTGGTTTACTTTTACAAGTAAACCACCTATAGTAACATAGGTAATATAAATGCAATTGTAATGTACAGGAAATCATTTTACATGATATGTCCTGTGGACATCCTGGGTGAATATGTTACAGACAGTGTTCCCAACTCTCATGCATCTGGTGTTGTACTCACGCTTTCAGACTCTCATGCTCACGTAATCAACTCTCATGCTCACGTAATCACACGGTGAATCTATATTATTCCATTATAAACCTAAAATTGGCTACCTCAAAAGTATTGGGGTAGTTTCCAAACCCTACAGACTATTTACAAGGTAATGAAACTGTTACATACATGTAAATGCGTGTGCATGTGTGTGCAGACTCGTCACAGATTGAGAACTTCACACCGGCCAGCTGAGCAAAGTTGGCAGCCCTGCATAGAAGATCTCCAAAGTAGTTTGCACATTGACTGGATAAGGAAGCAATTTAAAGATGAATAAAATCCTGCTGAGTTATCCTTTTGGATGGACACATGTTGTATGGAACCCTTTGCACAGAAATATGAATGTGATCATTACCTCCTTTTACGGGCACTGCATATCTGTGGACTGCAGGGGATACTGGAGTACTCACCCCCCCCCCCGGGGGGGCATCAGGCGGTCCGTGGTACCTGCAGAGTCACCCTGTGAGCTCTACAGCCTAATAAATTATCTCATTAAGTCAAGAAACCTTAATGAGCTCATGGTTATAGAAGATGTATTATTGTTTATTAATTCATATTTGGATCCTCAGAACTTTTTTGCCCGTGTTTTATGTGAAATGGCTGCCATTCACCCGTCTGTCTGCTTCCAGGGGTGGCGCTCTGGCTCTACCCAGAACCAGAGCCACCGGGCCCAGCTTGCTCCTGAAAAACTGGGAGTGACCTGAGAAATGCAGCCTCTACACAGGGTCCACATACACATTCACAGAAATATCATCTTATGGTATAACATGCATACAGAGTATACAGTCCCTGCACCCAGCCTTCCAATAGAATATTGTATAGCTTATGCATTGTTTCTGATCCTGTTTATTTCTTTGTACGAATTGCTTTATCACTCATTGCATTCAGTGTTGTTTTGTACAGAGCACCACCCTACCAAAGAAAATACCCTGTACACTCAACCTGCATGGCATTAAACTAAATTCTGATTCTGATGTTATGCGTGAACTTTCTGCTGAACAACAATAAAAAACTAGAACAAATTAATTCACTCTCAATCTCTAAAACTGTAATTATTTTTGCTAAAATATAAAACAACTGATCACTGGGTCACATTGATAACATCACCTCATTGTGTCCAACAAGTATAATGATGAACAGCCTTAGCATTTGCTGATACACTATTCCATTGGTATATTGTGCTCTTCACTTCTTAGTGTTTCTGTTTCCAGAGGCTCTGCATTCGCTGAAGTGTTTAGGGGCACTAGTAAAAAGCCGACCATTTCCATTTTCCTAAGCACAATGAACTTCCCCCACAAAAAAATGTGATTATTTTCATGTTTCTGAGAATCAGCCAGTGCTATTGTTAGGGCTTGTACAGCAATGTTGTATGAAGGAACATTTTGTTCTTAATGAGCATATTTTTGGCCTCCCGTTCCAGCATCACAGATGAGAGCAGAAGGCTCAGCCAGCAACACCTTTGGCCTCATCCCCCATCTTCTGCCCAATCCAAGCTCTGCCCCGTCTATCATCCACTGGACGTCTTCTTCTTCTTTCTGCGTGCATTTGCGTTCGACTGGATTGGCTGACAGTATATGTGCATGGGAATAGTTTTATAGAAGCTGAACACCCATGGCCTACAGAGACAGAAAGACATGACCAGATCAGACAGAAAGCGGATAATTCACTGAAAATCAGGGTCCACACATTAAGAGCACATTAGAGTCCAACCCGCACGGCGTTTGCGTGACGTGGCCCCTAAGGCCTTGTGTCCCCAGCCTACATACTTGTTGATGCGCTGGTTGAGGCCCACGTAGCACAGGCTTCTCCATTTCCGCCGGTTCTCCTCCTGACACACCAGCTCCAGCACTTCCTGGCGCTCCTTCTCCCTGCGCAGCCTCTCCTGCAGCTCTTGTTCAATGCGCAGCAGCTGCACAAATGGAGCAGACGGGTCAGCTGCGGGCCCCTGGATAGTGTGAGGTGACAGCCCCAGGGCTGGTGGCTCCTGGTCATCATGGCATCAAAGACAAAGTATACCAATATCTACTGCTGTTTGTATCAACCAATATCAACCAGTATAGACTGTTCAGGCTTTGGTATGTTCTTTTGAACTTTTGTTTATTCCTATCTACTGTTCATGCTCTTGTCTGTTTGTTTGTACTTTTGTCTGTTCGTTTGTACTTTCATCTGTTTGTATCTACCCTTCATGCTCTTATCTGTTTGTTTGTACTTGTTTCTGTTTGTTTATACTTTTGTCAGTTTGTATCTAATGTTCATGCTCTTGTCTGTTTGTACTTAAATTGATTCAACATGTGTACATAAATATGAAATTGAGCTCAAAGTAATATAAAAATGGTTGTAGCCAGCTTGCTCTGGCCATACTGTGTTTTGATGCCAAAGATGATTAATTATATATTCATTATAGAATAGTATAGTTTGGTGGGCAGATTCTTGGTGGCATTTCCGATGATCTCATACTGCTGCACTGAAACAAGGGCCAAAGCAAAGGACAGGTATTTGGACATTTAGGAGGAGAGCGTCAGTCAGGTCGGACTTTGGCTGCCCTCAGCATGGACAGGAAGTCCCTGTCAAGCCGAGAATCAGTTTTCACGCTCCACGTCACGTGAAACGAAACAGCTCAGGAAGGCGGCTCTGTCACCTCGGCTAACAAGCACGTCTCTTCCTGGTGGCTATGCTCCTCACCGACGGGGAGCTGGGCTCGCATCCCTTTCTCCTTCGCCTGGTCCCGGGGGGGGTTGATGGGTGGGAATAGGCAGCGCCTGTGACAGAGAATGCTTAGGGGTTTTTCACTGCTTGGATCTCCATGCAGCTCGACATGCAAGTGAATCCATCCAGAACGGTCCAGACATGGCGATATGCCAGCTTGGTCCTTATTTTTAGTTTTTGATTGAGTAAAGTCTTCTGCATGC